TACAAGATACTAATTAAAATTTCCCAATATCACTTAATAAAGTAATTAATTGACAATGATTCTATTACTAAATGGACATTCGAATAATTCACCATTTCTCACTATGAATTTTGTATACGCAATATCCTAGCAAAGCAACAACGTTGTTTTTGCAAAAATGTTTTTTTTTGTTCATAGTTTTTGCATTTGTATTAAACAAAATAGTAATACCTAAACATATGGTATGCTTAAAAATTTCTGAAGAAAACTTTGTATTGACATTTTGAATGTTAAAACATATCCTAACAAATCCCCATTTCCGTACAAATGTTATTCCATTTAAATCAAAAGAAACCCAAAAAAAAGAGATTTACTTACTAATAGCTCTCATTTGTAATGTTGACTTCTTGTGCATTACTTCTTTTTCTAACTTTACAAGGGGAAAATACTCATACTTATTTCTCGAAAAACGCATTTATTTACCTATTTTAGTTCCTTCCAAATATGTGCATAGTTTTAATATTTTTCGCGTTCCAGAGAAAGAACTACGTACCTAATCACACCCTCCTAGCATACGCCCCTAAGCGACATTAGAGCTGCACGTGACTTTTGCAAATATTATGGTGCTCGGCGTTGAACGGCCTTAAACCATATTACTATTTATACTTGCTTAGTAATGCCGAATATGTTTGTTTTGATATGGACATCCTGAATATTAATGTTGACAACTTTTTCAATATAAAAATAAAGATTCCCACTTTAATTTTCTTTAGTTTCTATTTTTATTTGGAAATTGATACACTTTCTGTTTCTTATAAGTTCATTTTTCCTTATAAAAGATGTTCCTAGCTGTGGGAAAGACGATGAAAGTGCCTCTCACCTACTCTGTGTTTGCCCAGCTCATACACGGCGGCTACTCAAAAGTTAAGGGGCCCCCCTTCTTGCGGATCTTGATCAAGACCTCCCACTAAACAGCATTTTAAGCTTCTTTAAAAGTTCTAGGTGTATCTAAACTCTGAGTTTCCTATATATACGGCAACACAATGGGCCAATAGGACTAAGTGGATCCTCTAAGGATCGCCGGTATAACCTAACCTAACCTAAGAGATGTTCCCAGATCATATTAGGTATTTATGTAAAAAGAGGTCTCGCAACAGTTTTTGGGACGTGATCCTGCATACAACTCCCAAAATACCAGAAAACATGGGTGTTCAAAAACATAACAAAAATCGATGCAAAGTTACAACATTATTGAAAAAACTGCAATGAAGTAAATCACTTGGCATCCGACATAATTCAACAGAAATTGTTTATGATAGTTCTATGTACCTTGCAGGAACTTCAAGGATGGCATATTTACAGGTTTAGTTGAATATTCACTGCAAGAATACCAATTGAAAGAATCACTTCATCACCCGTGAAGGTCTGTCCAAAGAGGTAGAGTGTAGACTCTGCTTAGAAGCAGAGGAGACATCCAGCCACATTCTATGTGACTGCCCAGCCCTGATCTGGGCCAGGAGGATGTCACTGGGTCGGGAACTACTCTTACCTTCCGATATTAGGAGGTCCTCAACGGCTGACATTTTAGCCTTCATTCGGAAGGCAGAATGTCTTCTGTTCGGTTAAGGTCTGTTGTAGCACAAAAGATCAATCATGGTTGCAGTGTTCTGTTCAAATGGGAGCTAGTACCCCGTTTACTCTTATTATTATTATTTACCTTGCAGGAACTTCAAGGATGGAATATTTACAGGTTTAATTAAATAGTCACTGCAAGAATACCAATTTAAAGAATCGCTTCATCACCCGTGAAAGTGGATGTAGTACGCGTAAATTGGTAAAATCAACGGTCGGAGAGTATATAGAATAATTTGTAAGATTATTGGAAACATTCTGTTATAATAATTATATCCTTTCATTAAGATCTACTAATTAAAACTCGAAAAGATCTATAAAAATACGTTGAAAATTTTTCTCTGAAATACGGAGGAAACTAAGATTAATAAGATTGAAGATTAAGCATCATAACACAGTCTACTGAACTCCGCTTTTATAATCAAAATGATTATGCCGGTGCATTTATTGTTAATAAAGTTTAATCCTAAAAAGTGTCCAATTTTAACTAATGGATAGATAATATTCCTTTTTGAAATCGAACTATACCATAATTAATAATTGTTTCTTTGTACAGAAGCCGTTATTCTATCTCCAAGCACCTTTATTAGGATCTTAATTGTAAATGAAAGAGTGTTCATAGCAAAATACAATACCCGTATTATAAAAATAATTTCTCAAAGTACAATATTAGCTGAACGTCTGAAAACTATGGAACTAGGTTCCATAAAAATTCTTTGTGTAACAGAATCGGTGAATAATGGTGAGTGTATGGAATATACTTCATCTATTACCTACTAGAATTTGTGCGAATTCATTTGACATTTCGGTCAAATTACTGTAATCGCTCGGAACTATCTTTAGTCAGTGAACATTCAGGAATATGCATAACTCGTATACAATAAATATTTTGTACCAAATAACATTAATACAAAAAATCACAACCATTGGGAAAATGTTTCTGTTTAGTCAATTATCCAAAAAGATCTCCTGGGGTTTGAGTTCTGCACACTTGAGTATAAAAACACCGAACTCGTTTTAGCATTTCAGAGAGTAAGTTCATTCGTAATATTAATATGTAAACAATAAAGACGAGGGTTGTACGATAAATCAAGGAAATCATACAAAATCGATGGTGTAGATATTGTAAATTTTTTTTTTTTGATTTTTTAATAACTTGCTGAAGCTTCAATTCAGTATATAAGAGGAGCTTTGTACTGAATTTAAAGTGTTGATTAAATAAATTATATTGAGTGACAAAATAATTGTTGATTGATTTGTATGGCTCTTGAAGTGGTGTATTAAAGTTCACTGTGATCCTAAAAGCGCAAATGTTGCTGAGGGTATGAGACCCCCTAAGGAGTTTACTAATCTCTTACCGAATGACATTAAACTCACACACGTTAATACTTGAAAGAAGTGTTTAGTTACATTTAAATTAAATGCTAGGGACTTTTTATTATTATTTTTTAGAAAAGTGAACATTTTGGGCTTCTCTTAATTCCAAAAGATATAAGTAGTCAATATTTCTATAATAAATATATCTATAATAAAATTATTTCATACTTTGTATATAAAAGTATAACAAAAAACTCAAATTTTTTAATTCTCTATCTAACCTATTTCTTTAAAACGGAAGTTCATAATTTTCTGTATCTTTTGTGAGAGAAATTTTAATTTTTGGGTTTTTTAAGTTATTAACTTTTTTTCAGATTTATTGATTACCTTCACAATAATTGCCTATGACTACATTGAAAAGCAAGAGACGATTACTGACTTATATTTTAACTTATAAAATCCTTTAAAGTGGAAGTTTTTATTAAATACCTTGCATTTAGCATAGAAGAAGTTGTATTCATACATATATATAATTCTCTGGAAAAAACGACTCCATACAAATCCAATGTAATAATTAAAATATTCCTCTATTCCATTTTCCTATATCTACACAGAAATAATAAATAACTAGATTTACATAATTTGATAAGCTAGGTTAGGTTATACCAGCAATCCAAAAGGGTCCACTTAGGCCTATTCGCTCATTGTGTTACCTATAATGGAAAACACAAAGGTAAATAAGTCATCTTAGGCCTTTAACGAAGCTTAAAATGCCTATTAATGGGAGGATAATATACTTGAAAAAAGAGGCCCCTAGAATAGTAAAGCGGATCCGCTGGGCAAAAACACAAATGTATGACACTTTTATCGTCCTCTCCACAACTGGAATGATTCTCTAAACGACAAACCTATAACTAGACTGATATTTCAATGAGAGTATTAGATTTTTTTTATAGAAAGTGCCTAACTTTCTTTCAGATGCCTATATATCGTTGTATGTTCTCATCTTTTATTAAAAAGTTTAGCAAAAATAACTAAGTTTGCATGGTGTCAACGATATGCCCAGATTTTTAAAGTGTTTCACCCAAGATTCCTAAAGCACCCCGTCTGCTTTTGCCATTACCGAAAATATCCCTATGAAATGCCTCGACATCTCGTTTAGAGATGTATGAATTATTAAGTAAGTTTAAAGTAGTTTCGTTTTGATGATGGGAAAGACAATGGAACCGTAGTAACAGACTAGTACATATTGATATCCCACTTAATAGCTTTCACTATGTAGTTAGTAACAACCAACGTAGAGTATGCTCCTCTATTATATGATCGAGCTCGTGAGTATACCGGATACAGTAAGGTCCTTCGATCAGTAGCAATTCGTGAATGTACCGGATATAGTAAGATCCATTGCAAAGTAGCATTGGGTGATTGTACCGGTTATAGTAAGACCCATCAATTACCTATATTTTTTGAAGTACTTTTCGGTAATATGCAAAAATTCTATTCTTATATTTATTGTGATTTAATTAATGGCACATCCGTAGTTAAGCATGGGTCTTTATGGTCTAAATGAAATTTACTTCTTACTATCGTTTACTGTAATCACATAGGAATTACAGTAAACGACTTCATAATCATTAGAAGTACCCAAGTTTCAACAAGAATTTAATTTGTTCAATTTTTTCTTATTTTTATTACATTATAATATATTTATGCAATTATACCTTTATATATCAATATATTTAGAGTAAAAATCCTGCAAATCCGCACTCTTTTCTATGAGCGAACACGTGTGTATGGCTTAGTTAAGTTGTGTAGATTTCAATGCTGTACTGTGATGACTCATGTCTCATTTATATGTGCCCGTGCGTCATCATATCTTTCTTCGTTACCAGGACTTCTCTGATTTATGATAATGTTATATTGTAAGCATGGAATTTTGGTCTTCATTAATCTTATCGTAAAGTCTTAT